TGCTGTGAAGAGACACCATGACCACAGCAACTCTTATAAAGGAAAGAAAGCATTTAACTGGCGCTGGCTCACAGTTCAGAGGTTTAGTCCATTATCATCACGGTGGGAAGCATGGAATCATGCAGGCAGACACTGAGCTGGAGAAGGAGCTGAGAGTTCTACATTTGGATTGGCGGGCAGCAGGAAGAGAGAGAGAGACACTGGGCCTGGCTTGAGCATCAGAAACCTCGAAGCCTTTCCCCAGTGACATACTTCCTCTAACAAGGCCACATCTCCTAATAGTGCTACTCCTTACGGGTTTATGGGGCCATTTTCATTTAACCTACCACAACATCCAACATAGGCCTCCACACGCATGTACACGTGCACCCACACACAAAAATTAATTAATTAAAATTAAGATAACTCAAACCCCTCATCTTTCTGATGAAGACCTCTGTGGCCAATCAACCCCATCCTGGTGGTCATTACAAAACACACCCACTTTCTAAAAAAAGAGAATGGCATAGTTCATTCAGAAGTGAATGAACTTACAAGCTTCAACACATCATCCTCAGCTATCAGCCCACACTGGTTATGCAAAACTGTGTTTTACATCTGGTATCTGATTTGCCACACTGTTTAACAGAAAAATAACTTTATCTATTTTTTCCCAATTAAAAGAAGTAATGTTACAATCCATAACTCCTCCAGCTCTGCTTTGGTAAATTAATGCTTATCTATTGTTTTTAAATCACAAAGTGAACATGGCTATAGAAATGTAAAATGGTACTATTTCATTTTAATCTATTTAATTTTCCATTCTTGAATTACATAATGGGGTTAAAACATTGAATAGAATTAATAGAATGAGTATTTAATTAAGCAGTAATGAGTTTCTAAATGGATGCTTGAAGAAACTGGCTTCACAGTTATGCAAGAATCAGATAATAGTCTTAACAAAGAGTATAATAACTGTGTTGAAATGTTTTTTTTTATATTTAAAGATTTTTATTTTTTCTGAATTCTCTCAGGAGTGTTTGAACATAACCCAGTTTCTCGATTTGCTTCCGGGCAAATCTAAGTGCCTTTTCCTAGCTCCCAACACCCCACATCATCGAACTACCCACAGTGCTCTGCCAAGTCCATTGTGAAATGATTCTCACTGGAGCTCCTGTGTTCCACCCACACCTCCTTCCTTCTGAAATGCTCTGGCCTCTGCAGCTTCTCTGGTGGCCTGGCCTTTGTCGCTTCTCTTCCAGGTGCCAGGAATGAGTGCTTGCACTCCCTGTACCTCATTAAGGGCCCCTCTTCCTTCACTTTCAGGGGATTCTTCCCTGATGAGCTTCCTCAAACTGAGTGGGGTGCCTGCCCCCACCATCAGGTGCTGCAGACTCTCCTAGAACTATGTGGCTTCTCTTTGAACAGTTAGCATCTTTTTATAGTTATACATTTCTCTTCTATCTGATTCTCTTTCTGGTCTATAAATCCATGATAAAATAGACTCTACCTGCTTTGCTTCCTAGCCTCTAGGTGGCTGGATGGATAATGGTGGAGAGTGAATGGTTGAATGAAGGATGAATGAAAGTCAGACAAATGGTTATGGGGGTTGATGAGTAGTTGAAGGAATGGACAGTTGAATTACTGAATACATAGATGGTGAATGGATGGAGGTTGAGTGGTTGGACAAAGGATGGATAGGAGATGGAAGATGGATGGATGGATGGATGGATGGATGGATGGATGGATGGATGGGCAGATGATGGTTAAATATGGCTGTCTCTAAGAACACATGAGTTTCATCCATAATACACATTCATGAGAGTTTCTAGGATACCTTTACATTCCCATTCTTTGTGGATTCTTAGCCCACACACAAACATGGTGTCCTATGGCAGCCCCTTCAGTAGGTACAACAGGCATGAAGATCTCAAGTTATGAGAACAGTTGCACAGTCTTCACTCACATACCTGTGACCTATATATTGACCTTATCAATTAACGACCTCAAGGGTCTGTCCATCAGATCTTCAAACCCAACCACATGCTAGGTACTGTGTTATGTTCTGAGCATCAGGCTGATTCCTCCACCAGTTACCACCAGATTTTAGTGTTAGACCCTGAAATAGGGAGGGGCCTCCAGGATCAAGGAAATTTTTAATTAATTTCCTCATACCGTAAAATGTAATTTTTAAAGCCCATAAAAATTATGGAGAGTCCAGTGAAGACCAAAGCTTAAAACTCAGACCAAAAAAAATGCCTGGGGTTTGTTTGTCAGGGTTCTCTAGAGGTTCAGGAACTGCTAGGATGACTACATGCCATCCTAATATTACAATACATACTAAGAGGGTTATTAGATTGGATGTGGTCCTGGTGGTCCAACAATGGCTGTCTCACTTCAGAAAGGCTATCCTTCTGCATTCTCTCTCAGCCCTCACTGCTGCTCCCACTTCCTGTATTTAAAACCATTCCTTTATTTGGAGAGTGGCTTCTGAGTCCCTTCCATGCCCTGAGCCCCATGTGAGGAGCTGGAGCCAAAGCCTCCAGCCACCTCAAGTCATAATCTGTACAGTGACATGTGACAATCAACTGCTTTGCCTGGACATCATCCTCTGGCTTATGTGTGAGACATAACACCGTCTCCATCTAACTTGGAACATAGAGGACATCCCAGGCCACAATTATCTGTCCAGTTTCCTAAACAGCAGGTATCACAAGAACAAGGACTATTGCAGTGAGGAAGAACAAGGCTCCAGTGTCCTGGCTCTGGGTGTGCCAGGGAATAACCTCTGCAGCTTCTGGGTGGGGTCAGCAGCAGACTGATGGGAAGCAGAGCTTACTAAAACCAAGAGGCGAAGGTCTGGCCCATGATCCACTGTAGGACTTGGGACAGGATCCTTCCTTTACTTTCTTCTCTACCTTCATCTTCATCTGCAGTCTGAAGGGATTAGGGAGCTTTGTCTCACCAAGGCCCATCCTGAACAACTGGCAGATGGAAATCGTCCATCACAGCACTCTAACCCACTGAGCCCAGATGCTCTGACGGCCCCTCTCTACCAAGTCAGGCTGCCTCCTCCACCCACCGGGGCCGACAGTTACATTGACACTTGACTTGTCATGTCTCTCAGCCTGGTCAGTGCATTAGAATTATCTGGGCTCCATCTTGAATCTCTGGCCTTGTCCTAACCAACTGAAGTGGCATAGGACCCAGGAATTAGTAAACCTCATAGGAAACTTGAATACGAAGGTAGGACTCAGAGCTGTGGACCTGGTTTGGTTTGGTTTCTTTGATTACTGATTTGCTTTACTTTTAGTTTTATTTGCTTGTCTGCTTTTCAGAATGGAGAGACAAAAAGATGGGGCTGGTAAACTTTCCTTAAACAGGAATGGTAGGAATGGGGTCAAAGTAGTTACTGCTGGGGCCATTTCTACGGGACAGCATCCCCCACAGTCCCCTCCCCACAGCTGAGCTCCATCCTGGCGTGCATCCTCAGACTCTTATGACTTGCCCAGGTTTGCTGAGATGCCATAGACAAATTAGTTTTCATCCCTGCCCCATCCCCGAAACCAAGCCTCAATATGGAGGCTCATGATTAATGATTTAAAAGTCAATGAATCAGTGGCTGTTTGCAAAACCTCATTTCTCAAATTACTCCTCTTTGAACACAAGGCCTTTTTGACATCATCTTACCGTGTCTGGATTCTCACTGCTACTAATTGAAATTCCTAGATATTTCCTCATCTTGTCAGTTCCTTGGTCTACTTGTTTATGAAATATTTGCAAACAGATTACTGTTCACCTGAGTGTGTCAGAGGTAGATGCCAGAACAATGCTTCACACTTCCCACTCAAAGGAAATGTGCTCATGATAGTTCATGAGATTCTCTGTCGGTGGGAAAGCTCATTTTTCATGGATTGATTGATTCCCACCACACCTACATGCAACAAGTATTTGAGATGTGGTACAATTAAAACCATGGCTCCCAGCTGCAAACATCTGTGTTTCTTAGGAAATAGTTTTTTAGTCTTGTGAGCTATGAGGGATGAGCTCGGCGGGGTGGGATTGATTCTCCTTGTTAGGGAGTAGTCGGGCAGGGTGTGGCAGGGCAAGGTGGGAGGCAAGCCTCGTGTGTCCAGCCCCAGCCTCTCCACTTAAGTCTCACCCTCTGCCTATCTGGTCATCTTGAGTTCGAGGTGGGCACAGCTGAAAGAGCAACACCCTCAAAGGCTGGAGCGATCGCTCACTCAGCAAGGTACTGTGGCCCGAGCATGAGGTCCCAAATTAGATCCTTCTAAGCTTCATTTAAAAGCCAGGCATGCACTTATAATCCTAGCAAGAGGGAAGCTGAGACAGGAGGATTCTTCGGGCTCCCTGATCAGCCAGTCTAGCCTAATTGGTGAGTGCCAAACCAGTGAGAGAAGGCACTGAGGATGGCACCTGAAGTTGTTCTCACATGTACCCACACAAACATGCACCCACAGACGTGCACACGCACGTGCGCACGCACACACACACACATCCACACACACACACAATAGTTGTTCATGCAAAACACACATACAATGACTCACACTCTACCAGAGTTCACTTCTTGTCCAACAATAACTCAGAAAAAGTGTTCCTGGCTCCCAGATGTCCCTCCGTGGGAGACTAGACACCCAAACTTCTTTATCCTTTGACTCCACACTCCCCTGGGGCTCCTAGCTATGTGCATTCAAGTAGGCAGAGGGAGAAAGAGCAAGAAAGGGGGTACAGATGCTCTTAAGCCTCTTCCCCAATCTGGCAGCATCCTTTCCCCAGGCTCTTCAAGAGCTAAGTTTGTCCCATGGCCTCACCCGAGTCCAGGGAAAGCTGATTTGTAGAATGCAGCATCTTCCTTGCCATAATCCCTGCATTGTATATTATTAAATGAGACGATAGGTGTAGTATACTTCATGTAGTTCACACAGGAAGAGCTCTGTTATTGGTGTCTGCTAGAAACGTTTCAAAACACTGACTATCGCCACCTGCTTTGTTTGCAGTTCCAAGCCACAGTGGAGGAAGGAGCCGTGGGGGTCATTGTCAATTTGACAGTAGAGGACAAAGATGACCCCACGACGGGGGCCTGGAGGGCTGCGTACACCATCATCAATGGAAATCCCGGGCAGAGCTTCGAGATCCACACCAACCCGCAGACCAACGAGGGCATGCTCTCTGTGGTCAAGGTAAGGGTGCCTCCAGTGGCGCCTCTGTTCTCCCATGAGTGTCTAGGGCCCTGTGAAAGGTGTAGAGAGTCACAGAGTTGAGAAAATCACAGATAAATTAATTCTACTCTCCCCCAGAAGCCCAGAGAGGAACACTATGGGCTTAGAGACTTCAGTGCCTCTCACTTTCTTCCCTGGTGAATGACACCATTTGCATCTGAGGCAGGCCAGGACGATAACAAAGGGCAGAGCAGGAACCTTGATCTCAAGTCCGTGTGTCCTTGACCAAGTACCTGCCCACATTTTCTGTGCCTCAGTTTACTCATCCATACAAAGCCACTGTTCATGCTGCGTATAGTTCAGGATGGCTGTCAGAGTACATTCTGCTTGCTGAGACAGGGGTCATGTTTCTGGGTAGCTGTCTTAGTTTCTTTCTTCGGCTGTTACAAAAAATACTCTGACCAAAGCCACTTAAGGAAAAGAGGGTTTAAGTTTGACTTGGAGATGAAAGTCATAGTCTATCACTGGTGGGGGCGTCACAGCAGCAGAGGCTCGGGACAGCTAACCATCCTGCATCTGCAGAAAAGAAGCAGAGAGCAAGGCATAAATGCAGACATGGTGTTCAGCCCCGCTTCTCTTCTTTGTACAGTCTGGATCCCCTGCCTAGGGAATGGTCCCACCCACAATTAAGAAGTCTTCCCATGTCAAATAACATAAACAAGATGATCCCCCACAGGGTGTGCCTGGAGTCCCACCTCTTGAGTGATTCTAGATTCGGCCAAGTTGACAGTTCACACTGACCGACCACCACAGCCACTGAATAGCAATGCACATTTGTTACTTAAGGTTCTACAGGCTGAAGTCTGGGATCACAGGGCCCAGAAATTCAAGGCCCAGTGAGAATCTGCATCCGCGTAAATGGCCCCTCCTTAGTCTGTCCCCATGCAGTAGAAACGGAAAGCCAGCTCTCCCGTTCACATGGCTCTATGTCATAACCAAGTGACTTCCTAATGATCCCCTTGCCAATGCCCTCACATGGGAGCCTGTGACCTCAGTATATGAAGTGGGGGGACATGCCCAGCCCATAGTACCATGAGGACTTCGTGAGTAAATATGTACAGTGTTTGTGACAGTAACAGCTACTTCCAGTCTGCATCAGTTCGGTTTTGCCGTGACAGCAAGTGAGCATAAATTTGGTGGCCAAACATGAGTGTGAATTGATTATTAGAAGTCCAACAAGGACCTCACTGAGTGAAACTGAGGGTCTGATCAGGACTGGCAAATCCTGGGGGCTTGAAGGGAGATTCCATCTCCTGTTGCTCCCTGCTTCTAGAGGCCACCTGTGGCCCTAGCCTCACGGCCTCTTCCAATATCTTCAAAGCATCTAAAACCTCTCTGTCGCTACTCCTTGATGGCCATCACCCCATCTACCACACCTTCCGCCTTATGATCCCATCAGGTCCACTGGGTGATCCAGGATAATCCCTTATCTCAGGGCCTCTCATTTAATCACATCTACAGTCTTTTGACCTTAGACTCTTGGAATCAAGAACTGTGGGAGCGTTATCCTGCCTACCACTGAGTCTCCGCCAGTTTTCCTTCTGTTACTGTGGTGAAACACCAGCCCAAAGTAGCTTGGGGGAGGAAAGGACTTCTGTCAGCTTCCAGGTCACAGTCCATCAGTGACAGAGATCAGGGCAGAAGCTCAAGCCAGAACTGAAGCAGAACTCATGGAGGAACACTGTTAGGTAGGTAAGTAGATAGAATAGATAGATAGATAGATAGATAGATAGATAGATAGATAGATAGATAGATAGATAGATAGATAGATAGATAGATAGATAGACAGATAGATCGATAGATAGATCGATAGATAGACAGATAATCTTCTATCCTTCTTACACACCCGCCTAGGGATAGTACTGCCCATAGTGAGCTGGGCCCTCCTGCATCAGTTAGCAATTAAGACAGTGCCCCGCAAACATGGCCACCATCTGATCCAGACAATCATTCAGCAGAGGCTCCCTCTTCCCTGGAGATTCTGTGTTGTGTAAAACAGACAATAAAAATAAACCAGTACCTAATCCTGTGAGTAACTTCCTCACATCAGTATCAGAGCCACTGATCACAACAGGTCATAGACACTTCTGTTTCTAGAGGACACAGAGTCTGGGTTCCTGCCCTTCCCTCTGTGTCGCTTCCTCCCTAATAACAGAGACAGAAGAACTGTTGGGAGAGCCTGGCACCGACCATGCAAGGCTGCTGCTTTCAACATGTGTTTGCCCAGACTGGAGGAAAATAAACAGCATAACCAGAAGCCACTTAGAGGAGAAAGGGGTTTATGTCCTCATACAGGTTACATTTTACAGGATCTTCATCCGCCTTCTGACTCCTCTCCCCTGAGAATGCAGGGCAGGAAGTCACATAGACCCAAATTCCTGCCTCAGGCTCCTGTCCGCATCATCCTCCTGAAAAGGGTACTCACTGTGCATGTCTCTGAGGAGTCTGCTACTTGCCTGTGCAGGGAACCGCTGTGTTGGGGGTTCAGCCCTGTCCTGCCTCATTGTCTCCCCGTGGATCTTAGTGGCAGGAGCCCCTCCCAGACATGTTGCTCTCAGTGCTCAGTGTTTTCTGTGGTTTGGAAAGAATGTGGCCTGTGATGGGCAGGAGCACTGCCTTAACTCTTTTTGCAATGGGGCTTCCTTTGTGCTCTCTGGCATAGCCAGGGGATCTTCACCAGGACTGCCCACTGACATTGGGACAGGACAACATCTTTGTGTGGGACTGACCTGGGCGTGGCCTTCTGTCCAGTAAAGAGCTGTAAAGCTCTCACATCAGGGTGATGATGGAAACACTCCTCCATAGTGGAGGCCCAGCACCTTTACCCCATGTGTCTTGGACCTAACTCTTATTCTTATGTCACTCTCTATTACAACAGTCCCTGAAACCAAAAGACTCTGGCCGTATTATAGACAGCCAAGTTCATGGGACATTCCCAGACCCCACATTCTTTTCCCTAAAGAGGACCCCTGAAACGGCACCAGACTTAAACCACAAAGCCCAGAACTGTCCCCAAGTGTTCACAGCTGCTCATGCATTGCCAGAAGGACCGTGTGCAAAGCAAACACCCTTCCTTCAATGAGGTGTGTTTCTTTCTAATGCCCTCCTGTCTGCTCCCCAGCCCCTGGACTATGAGATCTCTGCCTTCCACACCCTGCTGATCAAAGTGGAAAATGAGGACCCACTGGTACCAGACGTCTCCTATGGCCCCAGCTCCACGGCGACTGTCCACATCACAGTCCTGGATGTCAATGAGGGTCCAGTCTTCTACCCGGACCCCATGATGGTGACCAAATGGGAGAATATCTCTGTGGGCAGTGTGCTGCTGACAGTGAATGCCACAGACCCCGACTCCCTGCAACATCAGACCATCAGGTAGGTGAGCCGCTTGGGACCCACAGGGGGAGGCGAGCAGGAAACCACCTTCCTCTTCAGTTGCCAAAGCTGGCTGATCTGGTGGTTGGTTGCCTGTTGCAAAACGCTGCTAAGTTAAATTTACCGTCCATCTGGATGTGTGGGAGGGAAAAAAAAAAAAAAAAGAAAAAAAAAAGCTTGAACCTGATGGGCCAAAGGGCTCTCAGTGAGAGGACAATGTCGTTATCCCTGATTGCATCTGAGGAAGGGACTGGCTTTGGAGCTATGTTCCCCAATGACCCAGCCCAATCTGGAGGGTCATAAAGAAGAACCGCTCCATGTGGGCTCCTGCATCTCAGAACTTGATGCTCTATGAAAAAGGCATTGGTTGGTTCCATTTGCAGGTGGAGGTATTATGAATTCCGGCATGGGGAGTCAGTTCAGTCAGTGAAAGGCTTGTCACCCAAGCCTGGAGAGCCGAGTCTGTGTTCCTGGCACCCACAGAGAAGGTGCAGCAGAGCGCAGCTGCAATCCCAGCACTGGGGAGGCAGAGACAGGAGGATCCCTGCAGCTTGCTGGCTAGCCGGTCTAGCTGAATTGCTATTACTGTTACACCTGTATGTGCACGAGTATATAAACACAACTTGATCAGCCCATTTGAAGTTGATTGTAGGTATATGACTTCAGGGCTGACCACTTGATATTGGATAACCAATAGGAGGCCCATCTGTGGGTGTAAGGATAGATTTCAGAACGCAGTTAGGAGTCATGCGGGTCTAATAGAGTTGCAGTAATAAGTCCTCTAAGATCACTATCCCAAGGAGTTGGCTGGGTTTCTATCAGAAATGACTTCCCTCCCATTGAGTGGGCCTTAAGTTCAATCGGGTAGCTGTTGGTTACTGCCAAGATAGAAGTGCCACTATTGCGCCCTTAGGACTCGTTTGCCATGCTGGCCATCACTGTGGTTCATAGGCAAGACAGCCAGACAGGACTATTGGTTGCTTCCCCTCTGGGTCAACTTCCCTTCTGGTACTATGAAAGCTAGTAGTCCTCAGGCGGCTCCAATCTTCCTAGTTCTGCTTATTCCTTAAGCTCTGCTCCATGATTCAGAGACAGTCTTTTTATAATGAGGTTTCATCAAGTGCCAGCTGCTAGAAGATGCCCCCGCTGGAACATTGTCACACCATGAACAAGTCACTGCACAGGCCCGAATACCGTTTGTCTCTGCAAAGAAAGTGTCCAATCTTTCCTTCCAAAACACCATCCCCTGCTTGTGAAGGGCACACATGATCAAGACTTAGACACGCTTGTAATAAATGAGTCTTTTTTTTTTTCTTAATTTGAAAAAAATTGCGACAAGCCCCTGACCTTGTCTCCCATAGAGCGAGCTGGCAGGGGAGAGGCACAGGTTGCTTCCCACCCTCAAAGCGGGGTTTCTTTTCACTTCTAGACTTTCTGAATTGCCAGATGAACTAGAGGATGGTGCAAAATACTAGCAACTCCTCTGACAGTGAGAATGGGAAATCACCTTTCTTCCCCTGTCTTCTCTTCCTCCCCCCTCCGCCCCCACCCCGCTCCCTGCTGAGGATCCAGCAAAGGAAAAGGCAATTTAGCCATCAAAGAGAGCACTCCTTAAGGACTTAGTTGTGAAACCTGTAACTCAGCTAAAGGCAACTGGGCAGACAAGGCTATCTTTAGGGCACCTAACCGTCATTTTGTGTTTCTACAACAGGAGGCGGAGGCAGGAGATTCCTGCAAGGGGGGGGGGGGTGGTGGGAATGATCTGCAGTTGGAATGAGCATTGCTAAGCCTGGGCTCTGCCTTGCTGTCTCAGCTCCGGCGCTGCTGGGGACCAAAGGGTTAATGGGATGGAGCATGACCAGTGGGGGTTCCTGGGGAAAAGCCACAGAGCCTACAACAAGGGCAGACTAGTGGGAGGGAGTGTCCCTCTGGGTTCTCTAACTGAACCCAGCTCTGGTCTGCAGTAAGCAAAGGGTTAATTTGCAAGATGAGCCTGTGGATGATTACAGGATAGAAGAGCAGGAGGTAAAGCAGCTAGGGTCTGCCCAGGCTCCAGGGCGCCCCTAAGGTTCCAAGTGGCAGGAGCTGGTGGCCTGGCATGTCAAGGCTTCAGAGGGAAAGCAGTATCTCCAGCCACCATCCC